TCCCTCCCGCCCTGGGTCTCTCCCCACCCAACCAGGCGCTCCCTTTTCCCAGCCAGTTGTCCTTTAGGAAGTCCCTCCTGGGTTCCCGACAGCCTGCTAAACACTGGGAGCGCCATAGAAGAGCATGGCACATCCTGGTCCCCAGCTGAGTGCCCTTGGGCAGGTCCCCTCCTGTCCTCCCCCTCTCCACCTCTCTCTGTAAAACAGGGCTGCTGGTGCTTATCCCAGGCGTGTAAACCAGTGGTTCCCAAACCTGGGAGCTGTCACTCAGTGGGATACTTATTAAAGCCCGGCTCCCGAGCCCCACCCCAGACCTGCTGCGTCAGACGCTCAGTGGGCGGGGCCTGTGAATCTGTGTTTTACCGAACTCCTTTGGGTGGTTCTGACCCTTGGGCGGGTTTGAGCACTTCTGATGTGAGCACCTTGTGGCAGTGGGGGCCATGTAGTGTTTGTTGAGTGTGGTCTGTGGGCTGGCAATGGTAGTCAGTTCTGATGGGAGTGGGGGATTAGGTAAAGCTTCACGGGAAGGGTGTGTCAAAAGATGGTCTCAGAAGATGAGCTGGGCTGTCACAGGAATTACCAGTTACCATCAAGTCTGCTCCAACTCATGGCCATCCCACGTGTGTCAGAGTAGAACTGTGCTCCATAGTAGAACTTAATGGCTGAGTTTTTGGAAGTAGATCACCAGGCCTTTCTTCCAAGGCATCTCTGGGTGGTCTCAGACCTCCAAACTTTCCGTTAGCAGCCGAGCTCGTTGGTGGTTTTCCCCGCGCAGTAACTCCGTCACAGGGATAGGGAAGGCATTGTAGGCAGGGGACGCGGCGTGAGCAAACATCTGGTCTGGTGGTGGGATCCGTTAGTTTAGGGGTGGCCAATGGGCCAAAGTGTGTGGAAAGGGAAGGAGAAGAAAGGGAGGGGGGACCAAGTTCCGGTGTCTTCCCGGCCGGAGGTGTCGCCTGCCCGGGAAGGGTTAACCCAGAGCCTCCTAGGCCTGTCCACTCAACTTCCACTTCCATCCTCTGAGGAAACGGTTTTTCCAGGAGCCTGTTCTGGGCCAGCGGTGACTCGTGGCTCCACACAGGATGGCAGAGGAAGTGACTCAGGCCCCTGGGGGAGAAAGTGAACAGTGGGTTCCCTGCCACCCCCGCCCCCATACAGAGGGGCAGGACTGGGCCTAAGCTGGAGCCCTTTCTCCTGCCCCAGTCACCTCTGGGGGGTGAGGATGAGGGTCTCGGCTCAGACAAGCCCCAGCTGCCTCTGCTCTGCCTGGCCTCTTGGGAGCCCTGTGATGGTGGCCCCCATTGTGTCAGGCTAGGCCAGCCTGTTCTGTTCTCTGACTGTGTTTACGGAAGGCCTGAGGTCAAGGCCAGCTGCTCAGGAAGGTGAGGTGGGGTGGGTGCTCCCTGGGGGCTCAGCCACAAGCCCTCTCTCCCAGACTGGAGTCCCCCACACTGCCTGTGGCCCTGGCCACCCCTGATTTTATCTCCTGAGGACCTTGGTCTACTTGGCCCCCCAGGGCAGTGGGCTTGAGTGGATGCGGGCACATTTTCTAGAGTAAGACTGAGTTCATACCCTGACATCACCCTTGTGTGATCTTGGAACTCATAGCTTTTATCAGCCTTAGTTTCCTGATCTGTAAAATGGGAAAACAATAGGACCAGCCTCTCAGGTTGGCTCTGAGGACTTAATGTGGTAACGTAGATATTTCTACTGCTATTATTGTGGTGTTGCTAGAACACCCCCTTCTCAGTGACTCCCCTGGCTCTGGGGGCCTCTCCGGCCATGGGTGGTTCTGACAGGACTTGATGGCTTGAGGCTAGTCTGTCTAGCTCTGCATCTACGATTCCAGAGGCCCCAGGGGTAGGCCTGTGTGGAGGCTCATGTATGCGCTCCTGGCTCCTGGTTCGGGGTTTCAGCCTCCAGAACGAAGCCTCACCCCTGGCCCCACCTCTGCACCCCTCTCGTGCCCTGTCGCGGATACTGACTGTGAAGGAGGAGGTGTGGTGAGATGGACCTCGAGAAGGGGCCTGTGCGGTGTGGCAGGGGGTGGGGGTAGGACAGTGCCAAGTGGACACTCAGGATGGCACCCTCTCCCTGATTGACCTGGGTTGGAATCTTCTGGTTGTCTCCAACCCAGCCCTCCTGCCCCTCAGCGGGTTCTGGGACAGCCAGGCCATGGCTGCAGTGAGGGAAGTTTTCTGGGTGGGGTTTCAGCCTTCCTTTTGCCCTCCCGGAAAGGAAGTTTCATGCTCCAAGAATTTCCCCTCAAGGTGCTCTGGAGGGTGAGCTGGTGTGGGGACTGGCGGCAGGGCGGGGGCATGGGGGGACTGAGGGCTGTGACAGGATGGAGGTGGTGAGTTAGGGGCAGGCATGAAGAAGCTGGACAGAAAGTCTACAGAGGTGTTTAGCTGACACCTATGGCATTTACCACGTGTATGGCCCTGTTCTAAGTAAATAGGGATCAATTCTTTTAATTTTCACAACTACCCTTGAGGTAGGCTCTGTTTTTATTCCTATTTACAGGTGAGGGAAGTGAGGCCCAGAGAGAGTGAGAAACTAGCCCAAGGACACACAGCTAATAAGTGGGGGAGCCAGGATTTGAACCCAGGCCGTCTGGCTCCAGAGTTCACTCCACAGACTAAGCGTGGGTTAAAGGAAGCCAGACTGTCCCCTCCAGATCCCTGAGAATGCTGATGGGGACAGAATTAACCACTTTGGAGCAGCTGTTGAAAGAGCTGGGGTGGACGGGGCATAACCCAGGAACCATCAGGGTCATACAACCTTCCCTCTTGTCTGTGTTTGGATCTCTCCCACGACACCCCGTGGTGGTTTGGCCTTACTTGTGTCCCTCCACTGACGGGGAGCTTACTTCCTGCCTACACATCCTTTGCTCTCAAGCACCATCCAGGAGGGCTGATGCAAGGCAGATGGTTCTGCCCCACCCTGGGGCTTTGTCCTCCAGCAGTGGAGGTCCACTCTGAAGGCTAGTGGGCCGGAGAGATGCACGAGTTCTGGCCAGCTCCATCCTGCTTGCTGTGTGACCTCAGGAAGTCAGTGGCCCTCTCTGGGCCTTGGATCTAGACACCATAAAATGGGAAATTGGGGCTGGTGCTCAAGGTGATTTGTGAGCTGTGAGTTCACAGTGCAATGCAGTGGTCGAACTG